TTTTTTTTTTTTTTGGAGAACGGGCGAAAATCCGTGCGCGCGCAGGATGTCATCCATAAAATTAAAAAAGTGTGGCCTTACATAACCATGCAAATAACCACATTTTGCGTGTTGCCTTTATCTTGCTTTCTAAGGTGACATTCCCCATGTAGGTAGTTTACCCTTATCAACCCCAACTCATGAATTTTCTCTCACATTATTTTGTCTCATATGATGTCATGCAATGTTGACAGCCTGGTTTAGACTTCGATGATTTCATGATGGGTTCAATTCCATCACCAGGCAGTTATAATAGATATAGACACTCAAGTAAGCCAAGTTCAAGTATCTGATAGTCCATGTATAAACACTGCAAAAAATCAACAATGCCTTTTCAGCAAATAAATGCCTAACTTCTTTTTGTTCTATTTTAAGGTTTAATCATTGAAATAGTGCCCATCTAGAATATCTGATAATTTATGGCAGTGCTTACTTTAGAAGTTTATTTATTTATTTTGTTTTATTGCTAGGTTGATCTTGAAGGAAAACTTGGTAGGTCCCAGGTTATCACCAAGACAACACCTTCATCACAGCAAGGAGGGTAAGTCTGTTTATCAGCCATTAACAATTTTGTATCGTCTTAATAAAGTTGTCATCTGTTTGTAACCAGCTATTTATTTTTCACATCACTGACTTTTTAAATTCATGTAATTTTAGTTGTCATGTTTTTTTATGGCTTTTCACTCTAGGAACTTGACTCTTCATTCTGAAATGTCTTTTTTTCCAGCTACTACTGCAATGTCTGTGACTGTGTGGTAAAAGATTCCACCAATTTTTTGGACCATATAAATGGCAAGAAACGTGAGTTTGAATAAAATTAGTACCTACATGCTGGCACATGAAACTTAAGCCAAGTGCTTAGATTATGTTGTTTTGCAAAATAATTTCTTGCTTGTAGTAAAATTGATAAAAATGTGAGTATATATTGTGTATCAACTCATTTTACTTTTAACGACTCTCATGGGGCAAGCTCCTGATAAAATACCTCAATATGACACCTCACATTAGTTTACTATCAAGAAAAGTGGTCATTGCAATATATAGATTAAATAGGTCAAAATTACACATTTTATTTTTTAGATCAGCTTAATTTACTAAAATATGTCAAAATAACATTATTATTTTTTAGATCAGCGTAATTTGGGTATGTCTATGAAAGTTGAAAGGTCATCTTTAGATCAAGTAAAGAAAAGATTTGAATTAAACAAAAAGAAAAAGGAAGAAAAATTAAAAGAGTATGACTTTGAGGAAAGAATGAAGGAATTAAAAGAAGAGGTTGGTATTTTTATTTTTAGTTTGTATCAATAAAATCAGCCTTCTTGTAATTTAAATTTAAGGCCATTGATAAGATTTTTCTAAATCAAAAAATTCTTTAAAAACTTACTTAAATGTTCTCAGTTTAATCTGGTATGGAAATGGTTAATAAAAGTGTAGTGTAGATGATAAGTATGTATGAAGCATGTGTGTAGAATATGGTATTAGTTTCAAGTATTCAAGCAGCACTTTTAGTGATTTTAGCTGCAGTAAAATCTATTAAATTAACATTGTTATTGAGGGTCAAATTTATCTTGCAGGAGGAGAAGCAGAAAGTTTACAGAAAAGAGAAAAAGAAAGACAGGAAAAGGAAAGCAGATGGCGATTTAGATATGGACCAAGATCCTGAAATGGCAGCTCTGATGGGTTTTTCAGGATTTGGATCAACAAAGAAATGAATCTAGGTTTAGTTTTGTACACACATGGAATATTTTATGCATTTATTAAATGCTATGTGGTTACTCACATTGAGGATGGGTATATGTGGCATTGTACAGATTGAAGTGGCATAATTGTTTGGCATGAGGATAATGTTCTTCATAATTCACTTTAGTGGGACATCTTGTACAGAAGTAGTATAATGCCATAGCCACAGCTATTATCATGGTGATATGACAGAATTGGCCAGCTCACAAGGAAAACAAGTGTATTGGATTCCCTTTTTACACAGACTCCCACAGAAGTTCGAAAATATAACTGGTTCAGCTGATAAGCTTTAATTTTAGCAGTCAGTTTATGTGATTAAGAAAAAAATCATGACATTGGCCCTTTTCCTCAACACCACATAACAGTACTATAGTTTTGTGTGAAATTGCATTATCCTTGAACATCCAACTTTATGGATTTTGTCATTTACATATTGCTGATTTTGAATTAATTATAAGAATATTTTTCCCTTAAAATATATTTTATTTTTGGAACAGTATCAGTTAATGACAGAATTATTTAAGTAGATAACAGTTTTTATAAAATCAGATAAATTAAAAAAGTAAATAAATAACTTTTAAACTGATAACTTGAAAAAAAATGGTTATTTTTATTAAATACAAAAACATTCTAAGAACTGTTCAACATAACCAAGACTACAATGCACTGGAACACTTAATTGCACAACAATACAAACATTAACATACCAAATTGTATAAAACTTCTAACAAATAAACATTAAAAGTTATAAACTACTTATGTCACATTTGCCTTAAACAAAGTTCATATAAGAAAACTTACACATTGTGGTAAAAGGACTAAAAATGCTTCTTACATTTGTGATATTTATAACAAAGGTAACTGCTCATTTCAAACTTATTCACGAACAAACCTATAAAATCAACTTGGTTTGGAAGCAGTTATTTTGAAGAAGATAATAAAAGCAGCAGGAAAAACCCATCCCAATTGACTGGTAGTGGATTAAAAAAAATTCAGAAAAGGTGAAAGATCACACTGCTGCTACTGGTTTTTGCAAGTTCACAATACTGTGATTAATTTCTATAACTCTATTAAATAAGTAACTTTGCAATCTTTATCCTTTGGTATCAGCAATAAACATTCATATTAAATTATCCCATTCATCGTCACCAGAAATGCTGTAATTAAAAGATCTGGTTCCACTGGAAATCAGCCTAGAGGAAATAAATTTAAAGTTTTTAGATGAAATCACTTTGTTTATTCATAGTTGCATTTTTTTGCAGCGTTCACAAAATGTATTTTATTTCCATTACTGCTTCAATGAACTGCAAAATTTAGCAGGCTTTAAATTACATTTTTTTATTCTGTAAAATATGAATGGCCTCTGCATACCTGCTTGTTGGCCTCACATTCTTATCACATGGAGTTCTTTCATCAAACATATCACACAAAATGCCCTGAGAGGTGTTCACAGAAGACACTGGAGAAGACTGAAACCAGAAAGCAAGCAAATATTTAGCTCGGTAGAAAAATATGCAGATTTTATTTTGTGAAATACGTTTTAAATATTTCTATTGGATACTATAACTGTATCAGATTATTATTGGATTGCCCTTAATACAAAACTACATTTACAAATAATCCAAATACACTTCCTTTCTCTTACCACTAGATTTTGCATTCTGAATCTGCTTTTTGGCTCCCCCTGTTGATTTCTCTTCTTCTTTTGGACTGAAGAATTAAAAACAGGGTAATCCTCTGCCCAAGAGGAGTCCTGTGATGTTGGCCATTCCTGACAACTCTCTTGAACAGGGTGCTTCTCAGTTTCCAAGAAATCCTGAGATGCTGGAAGCCCCAAGGAAGTTTCCATTGAAGAAAGCAAGGACTGTAAGGCAGAGATTGTTGCTTGGTTCACTTTGCATTTAGGTTGTGACTGTGCTTTTGCTTTCTTAGGATGAGTATTGGTGCCATATGTGTCCTTCTTCCTTGAAGAATTCCCACTCGTGATAGTTGACTTGCTTTTTTGTACTGATCTACTGGTGTGTTTTTTTGGCTGAGGAGTTGCAGTCACCTGAAAACAATTGTTCAGCGTTTTTTATACAATTATAATTTCTACTAAACATCATCTTACCAGTGAAATTAAAAAAAAAAAGTATATTATGTACAGTAATGGAACTTGAATATGAAATTGAAGGTGCATAAATTAATCCCCTTGATTCAGATGGACAAACTCAATCTTACCTCACTCAAGCTACTAAGAGTCACTGATCTTGGAAGAGACCCACAAGAAAAATTGTCATCATCCTCATCATCATCAATGACAGCAGTGGATAGAGCCAGTACTTCATCATTGGCAGCTCTCATTATTCTGCGCATTGCCATGATACTCTTACACACTGTCCAGTTAGAGCTGGTTTCCTCCCTATCTCCTATAGAATTGTGAAGCAAAATTACTTACGTATACATCAGATTTAAAAATGTTAATTTTTATGGTACTTTTAACATTTATGACTGCATACTGTATTGATTTTTCTTACTTTATCCTACTGTTATACTTTACATAACTATATCCTCATATATCCAATATACCGTGAAAAATTATAACAACTTACAACTGGATTCAAAATATTTACTTTCAGATTCAATGGCTATCATCTATTCCTTAGAACTTCATCAAAGTTTACTTGCCTGAAGAAAATGACCTAAACAGTTCAAAATAATCCTCTTCTTCATCATCATGTGACATTCTGGTATGTGACTGGGCTGCTGTCTTTGGTCTTGTTCTTCTAGATTTGATGCGAGATAATTTAGGGCTCTCCTGAAAGCTACTGGTGAATTGTGAGGAAATCCTAATTTGGTTTTGGATTAGCTCTTCATCCGACTCTTCATTTTTGGTCTGTTCTCGAGTTCTTTTATTCAACTGTAATGGCAAAGATCAACTTATAATACTTTTTTCCTATTTGCTCTAGGGTCAACCTTGATATGAATAATTTAAACTAAATACTTTCCTTTAGTTCAAAAGTATATTGTCTTAAATGATTTCCAAAAGGTTTTTTGTGCTTAACTTATATCTAGCACTTGATTAATACAATAATTTTTTTAATGAAATTAAAAATAGTCTTGCCTTAATACAAGAAGCATCCATCACCAATTTTTAATAAGCTCTTGTATTTCTCAGAAATTTCAAGTAACAAATATAAACATATCCTTAATTACATACCATCTTGTTCTGTGAAGGTGTAAAGAAAAGGTGTCTGTTGGTTTGCAATACAAAACTCTCTTCACTTTCCTCCAGCAAATCATCATCATCAGCTAAGGTCTGTTCAGGACTGTATGACGCAATGCTGTAGGTTTGACTAGCATCTCCAGCTGGGCCCATGGGTAGTTTCCTAGCCACACTAAGACCTAAAAGAAAGCATAATTATCTATCATTTCTATAAAATACCCACTACAAATGAACCAATAAAAGAAAATTAAAATCAATCAAAACCATGGAAAACCCACTGTGACCATTACGTTCCTTTTCAAGAATAGTTTTGCAATTTTCAAGAAATGCTTTGTAAATGGAGAGGATTTATCCATTTTCTTTATCAAGAAAATATAAACATTTACCTTTTCCATTTGATGTGTTTCGTGGTCTGTTCTTAGTGGATTGCTCCTTTACTCCACTATCTGGTGTCTTCAGTGCCTCACGCTGCTTATTTTTCTTCTTGTCTCTGTACCTGGTAGAACTGTCTGTAAGTTCAGTAGTGCTTTCTTGTGATCGGCACAAGTCCTCGAACATCCTCACTATTGAACGACAGGAGCTGGATGGTTCTTGCATCTGTTTGCTGTTATATTCTGAATCGATGCTGGACTGACTATCATTTTCTCCCTCAACTTCATCCATGCCAAGACATCTTTTGGACCTATACTGTGTTTCCTCCTGGTACTCCTTTCCATGCCACTGTTTCTTTTTAGATTCGACAAGTTCAAAAGATCCACTAATATCTTTGGGCTTTTCTTTTACACTACAGTATTCACCTCTCACAGGAGTATTTTGCTTCTGTTTTGATTGAGTTGGTAACTTTGATAAATCATGCAATGGCAGAGCCATTTCATCTTGTGATGATTGTATGTCAGCACCAAGGAGGTCTATTGCTGGTGTATCCAACATGGGCACCACATCTAATGAAGATTCCACACTGGACTGGCTATCTGGTGCAGTGTGAGATGTTTGTGCAACTGACCTTTCAGATAACTGGAAACTTGCCTCTGTATCAACATCAGAAAATACAGAAGGCCGTTTCTTTCTTCCAAGAATTATGTCAGTAAAAGATGGACTAGTGCGATCTTCAAATATCTCAAACCTAGACCTCTTTGGCAATCTGTTGTACTTTGCGCATGTTTCTCTTTTGAAGGGATTCTTACAATTCACTGGCTTTGTTTTGGTGTCTGTCTTCTTCATACCTTTGGACATGTCTGTGCTTCCTTCATCTGACATATATGTTGAATATGATATTCTACTTTTCTCTAAACCATCTCTACACTCTGAATTAATTGCTGTGAATGTTCCAGCATCTTTATCTCTTGACTTCCTGGCCTTTTTCTTTTTTCTTCTCTCCACAGATCTTGGGGTGGTTGGTGTTCCTGTACCAATAAATGTCAAAGTAGGAGTTTTTAAAAGTCTTGTGCTGCAGCGGGACTTCTCAGCACGGTGAACAGGAGATTTGCTCTTTCTTGGTTTCTGTGGTGTTTTGATTACTTCCCTTAAAGCAGCTTCTGTTGAGTTATTTTCAGACTGGGGTGTTACCAGTTCAGAGACAGCGATGTTTGCCATATATCTATTAGTGTCTTGTTTTGGGGTTTGCAGATCATCTTGTTGCTTCCTATTCAACTGTGTTTTGTTTTTAGAAAGATCATTCTGGTGTTTTATTTTTCTGTTGCCTTTCATTTTCTTGGTTCTCTTAGATTTTGAATTTTCTTGATTCAAATTAGAATTGCAATCTGAATCTAAATCAAAACCATTTGAGAGGTCGACTATAAGCCCCTTCTCCTTCTTTCGTTTACTCTTTTCACCAGAAGAAACAAATTTGGAGAAATCACGCAAAGACACCCCACTGAGATCCATATCCTTCTCTGATAGATTAAGTTCATAAACAGATTCAAATTCATCATTGCTCTTGTTGCTTCTTTTAGATCTTATCCTTTTTTCAGACTTTTTGTTAACAGCAGACTGCTTTGCTTCACTGTAAACTGATTTGGCTGGTGTAATTAACTGACTATCCATTTTAAAGTCTCCATTGTCATCATATTCATCAAAATCATACAAAGACACTTTTTCACTTGGTTTGGAAAGGGTTCCCTCTCTACTCTTTGCTTTTTCATTTTGAGCAGCTATTTTCTTTACCCTTTTCTTGGGTTTTTGTGACGCCTTGGAATCCTCTTCATCAATGATATTTTCCTTATTGGAACAGTCTTCATCACCATCACTGTCAAACCCAAGATCATGCATCATCTTTGAAACCTTTCTGTCAGTTGAATGGCTTCTTGGTGGGATGTCCCTTGCCATGTTCACTAATGATAAATCTTGTGTCTCTTGAATAACTTCAACTGATGAAGAAGATAAATTATATGTGGGTTGTTGGGTGTCCCTAGAATTCAGCATATTGGATTGCTCAATATGGACAGCAGATTCTTGTATATAGCCATCTCTAGTAGACATCTCATCTGCATGTATTTGATCAGAGGGAAGGTTTTCCACACCTGCCTGACTGTTCTTGTTGAATATGTAAGATGGTAAAGGAGTGGCTGAATTTGCAGAAAGAACTGAATCATCTTGAATTCCGGCCTCCCTTGAATAATTTTCTGTGCAACTCTCTCTAAATTTTTCACTGTCTAACCCTTCTTCAAAACATGGCGGTATTTCACTGGATGCCTTGCCGTTTTGTTTCATCCTTTTAGATCTTCGTAAGGGTAGAGAAGACTGTGATAACAAAAGAGATGACAAAGAATTTTCATTTGTGGTTTTTGTCAGTCCTTTTTGGTTAACTGACCGTGCATTATTGGTTTTCTTTACCTTACCGACAGGTTCAGGGATATCTTTACTAGGAATTGATATGGTGGTTCTTTTGCTTCTTGTTAAAACACGTGGCTCATCATCTTGACTTCCGAGATTATTAATCATCATTTTTCCTTTGTTAGTACCTGTTGCACTGTCTTCAGCAGTTTCATCTTGGTTCTTTTTGGACAGTGCTTTATGTTCCAACACTATTTCAGCTTTTCTGTCATTACATTCAATTTTTTCACTTTGTACTTTATTGTGACTCTGAGTGTCATGTAAAACCTGAGATCTAGTTTTGGCTCTTTGAGAACTTCTGGTTGATTTCATGCTTCCTCTCTTTGACTGTTTATCTTTCTTGCTTCCAGACTGTTTTTTAAAGTATGGATTACTTGGGTTAGATTTATCATTATTTTCTTGAGAATAAACATCTTTTGATGCATCTCTAGTCTCTGGGTCATTTTGTGCAATCTTCAGGGCCTCTGGAACTTGCTCACATAATTTGTCACCACTTGCTGCCTTATCTTGGTTTGCAGAATCGATCTCTGGAGACTCTGCATTTTCAAGCTGTTGCTGATTTTCTTTATTCCCACTTCCTGAGGTATCAGCTTCAAAAACCTGTTTGTTCACAGTTTCACCTATATTCACATCATTGTCTTTGATTGCGGTGTCAATTTGAGATTCTGGCACCACCTCATTGATGTTATCATCCAATGCCTCCTGAACATCATCCCTTGAAATAGCAGTATTCTTTTCTTTCCTGTTTTCTCCAGGTGAATGTACTGCTGCTGCTTGTAAGTGGAGACCACCCATCTGCACAACAATTTTTGCTCCCGATACTTTTTTTCCTCTTCTGTGAGGGTAATGATTAGTCTTGCTGGTTTCCTCAACACTCAATTCTTCTATGCTTTGAATTTGTGGTGCAACAGTTCTGACAGCCATTTTTCTATTTTTCTGAACAATGTTTTGAGATTCTCGGATTGCATCAATATCTTCTTCCACAAGACCAGGATCATTCAGGGCCACAGCACCCCCAAAGGCCACTGGTGTCTTAGCAATTGATGCCTTTCTTCTCGGTGCTTTATCAAACTGTAAGTGTTGCATATGACATTTTTTAGGGCCATCTGTTGAAATTCTGGGCACTTGAGGGGATGGCACTAGAGCTGAATTGCCACCTTTGCCAACAAACATAATGGCAAGACTTGCTTTTCTCTTCTTATTCTTGCAGTGGGTAATTGGCACTGTAGATGCTGTCTTTGTGTGGTCACCTTGGCTCAAACTGTTTGGTTCAGAATTTTGACTTGACTCTGCTGCAGATGGATTAGATTCTCCAGTATTTACATGCTCTTCTGTTGCTGGTTTTGTGACTTCCTCCTTGGCTACTGGTATAGGACTGGCAGCACAAACCGAACTAGCATGGATGCGGGCAACAGTGGCCTTATGAGCAGATCTCTGGGATACCTTGTCATGGTTGTGGTGACTATCCTTTGCACTGAGCATGATCAGACTTTCTGAATTCTGCTGTAGGTCTCCAATATCTCTGTTCAGCATCGCTTGGCCTTCTCCTTCCTCTAACTTTTCTGGAGCTTGGGTGACAGGTGTCTTTTGACTTTTGCATCCCTGTTTTTGTTCATTTTCACTTTGTGAAGCTTGCATGGTACCTGATGAAACAGCCGAATATGATTTTTTTTGTCTCTTTTTATAATTCTTCTTTGACTTGCCCTTTTTTTTCTTTGACTTTGAGGGGGGCGGTATGCTGGTTTCATTACATTGGTCCCTGTTGATAACTTGATTTGTTTGGGTGTCATCTTGAGAGCTTTTGGGATCAGAAAATGAGGATTCTTTTTCACTTGCTTCGCACTGTTTTATGGATTTTGACTTTCCATCCTTCACTTGGGACTCTTCTTCTTGAGGTGTATTTATGCTATTAGGTTTCTCTATATTCTGGTTCTGCCTATTTCTTAATCTTGTGACAGAGCTTGCCTTTTCACCTTCCCCACTGTTTGAAGATTGCTTATTGTTTCTTGACCTGTCTACACTGTCTACAGTTTTTCCATTACTGTTTCCATTTTCAGCGTCACATTTGCCCATATCTTGAACAAGTGTTTTACTGGCTTTTGATAACACTGGAAACTTGTCTTCATCAGTGAACAAATACCTATCACCTTCAGTTTGGGAAGGTGGAATCACATTTGGTGAGCAGATTTCAAAATCAGGTGATGCTGCTGTTTTTTGGTTATAATTATTAGCCAGAGCCAAATCAAGTGAAGCACAACTTTCCTGAGAATCTGGGCATCGTAGGATTCGACTTTCCATTATAGGTGAACTTGTTATGACTTCACCTCTTGCGATGTTTTCTGCATCACTCCCAAAATTTGATGGTGAGTTGGTGTTAGATCGAGTGCTTGCTGAAGCAGAGTTGGAGTGGTATGTAGCTAGTGTTTCACCCCAACTTACTCTGTTGCTGCAATTCAACTTGGCTGGATCCCTACTAGCACTAAGGATGTTCAAAAATAAATATCAGACTTTGACATTTTATCAAATAAAAACTAAAATAGATCTAATGTCAGGTATGTTCATATTTTTTTAGTTTTTATTTTATCAAATAAAAACTAAAAAAATATTTAGTTTTTATTTTATCAAATAAAAACTAAAAAAATATTAACATACCTGACATTAGATCTATTTGTTAAGTAACAAAAAATTTAATGCTCTTGTTTCTGCTCAATTTAAATGAGCCTGTCATTATCAGTTAATTCCATTTCATAACTCTACGAAATAAGACATCTTTCAGTGGCGGATCCAGAGATGTTTTCTGACAGTCTTCCAAATTATCTTTGTTGCGTCATCCCCCATTTTTTACCGTCTTCCGACAGAAAAAAAATAGATGCCCGTCAATGTAAACTTGAAAATCTGACCGTCTTCCGGAAGACCCAGAAGACGGCCTAAATCCGCCCCTGTCTTTTATTATGTGCTCTTTTAAATAATTCAAATCCGCAAAAAAAACACAGACACCTCTTTAGAATTCCCGACTGCTGCGTGCAAGGAATTTCTTCATAAATTTCAGGGATGGGTAATCTATCTGTAGGCATATAACTTCCATCTTTGTATGTATGGGTTGGACTACCTCTGATAAACTGCAGTTCCTCATCATCTCCAACTTCCGGTGGACTTTGATTAATGTCTTTATCCCACAACACATGGGCCTTCAAAATACAATAATTAATAATAATAATCACCAAATTACCTCTTTTTCAACTAACAGCACAATCCTTGTTTGTAAAGGCTTAAGCGACATTTTACGTAAGCAATACTATTCATGTAACATCTAAATAGAAACTTCAACACTTAAATGACAACCACTGTTCAAGTGAAATCTTTCCTCCTATTCACACATTAGTACTGTTGCAAAATATTCAAACTTTACCTCATTTTCTGAGTTAAACTTTCTTGACACCAAACCATGTTCCTCAGCTGAAGTTTTAGACAAAGGTTTTTCCTTTTTTGAAGATGTAGAAAATTCAAGAGTATATGTAGATCTCACTGTCACATTGATGTTGCGTGGTTTTCCTTTACCCCTAGAAGAAAATCTTGAGCAATGCAAAATCATGTTGAAATGATTTACCAAATCTTTGCTACTTTTGAGGTTATGAAAATTAACTGGCCCTTGACAGCTGTTATCTAATAATTGAAAAAGAAAGGAAAGAAAATGACTAAGTTTTCATTTAAAAAAGGCAAATTCAGGAGACATCTAATGTTTCTGCCTCCTATATATTCTACAACATGTTAGATAAGTTTTGGTATTTATCTTTAAAATTTGTTGATTTGAATCAAGGGTGCAGTTTTATTGATAAAACTTGACATAAAATACAGTTAACTTGATTTTTATTTTTATTGTTTATACTATTACATTACAAAAAATCTTACCTATAATTCGATTTCTCTTCCTTAGCACATTTGGCCCACAAAGATTTCACTTTGTGTAAAATCTGGCTCTGACTAAGAAATGGGTACTTGGAAGACAGCAGTTTCTTTTGCTGAGCTACAAATGTCTTGTAGCTGTTCTTCCCAATTGGTTGCCTTGAAGTCATTGCTCTTATGCTTCAATCATCTCACTAAAGAACATGTTCTTTTTAGATCTATGGTCCACACTAAAAAAACAACAACAACAATACAAAAACCATATATGTCTACTGGGCTATCATATCCACAAAATCTTTTGAAGTCTTGTCCAAACATCAAATGGAAACTGAATTCTGAGCTTTACAGGCTGCACCCTAAGGGTGCATTCCCAGAGATTTAGATCGATCCAGAAATTTAGATTTAGATCGACCTAACTCCCTGGGGGTTCACGCTAAACTGCAGTCAGCCGAGCGCGCACCACAGTTAATTACCCCTATTCAGCTTTTAGTAGGCGGGACAGACGTTTAAGCCAGCTAGGCTGGCAGTAATCTAGTGAGACTCCCCACAGGGATAGATCGATCTAAAATTTATGGGAATGGGGTCTAAGAGAGGGGAGGTAATCTGCAAATACTAGTACATTAGTCAGATTGCGTAAATCCATGCAAGCCCTGCAGTCACATGGCTGGCATAGGTTCCATTGCACAGCATTAACACAGAGAGAAGGTATGAGAACAGTGTGGTAAGAGCTTACTTTTTACAATTAACTTTCCCCTACACACTCCCACAAATGAATCACAAATTGCCATGTAACACACAATTGGAACTAGAATCTAGATCAAATTAAATGGAAAATGCATGTCAAATATTACAAGTTAATCGATTTTTGTCGGTTTGGATAGCATACGTTTGGATAGTATGCAAAACAGCATCTCTGTTGCTACTAATCAATGTTAACCTTCCGATCCACGGTTTACTCAGGTATCCCAGTGGCAGTGGCCAGTGCCCCAAAAAGACCACAAAACAAGCGACTCCACGGAGATTTTCATAAAATTATCTTATATCTCTTATCAAATAATGCCTCAAAATGACCAGGGATTCTAATTTACAGAAAATTATGTCTATCATTCATTTGAGACCATCAACTTACCGTACTCGTGTATTGTTTACATATTTTCAAGCAGACAACATTTTGGATCCCCCGCCATCTATGCGGGATTTTGCGATGTTTTGCGAGAAGAACCATCCTGACGTCATCAGTTGCTAGAAAACACTGACATAGTTGTGAAGGCCCAAAGCGGGTATTGCTTTTACAATTGTAGTTGATAAATAGCATGCAAAATGGAGGAGAACCTTCACGGTGAAGTAGATTTTGACTTTTTTGATTCACCTAAAGTGCCCGAATCGTCCAAGAAGCCGCCATCGGGTAAACATAGCGATCGGAAAAGAGCAGACTCGCCGCCAAGGAGTCGACATGATTCCAACTCAGATCGAAGTAGTGTTAGAAAAATTGAAGCTCGGGTACCCAAAGTTGTTGACAAGCGCAGTGATAGTTCAGATAGTGACAGTGAGGGCAACCACCCAAAAAGATCTTACAGCGAGTATAAGAAATCGAAAAGAGAAAAAGCTAGGCGAGGCAGTGGAACTGATACTTCTCTAACTACAACAGAAATAGATTCTAACACAGGGAAAATGATAGGAAGACGTAATGCTTGGTCAGATTCGGATGAAGACAAAGACAGAAAAAGTAAGACAAAAAGTGATAAGCACAGTGATGAGAACAGAAGCAAAAGATCAAAGAGAAAAGATGATAAAACCCGAGAACTTTCAAGATCAAGATCAAGATCTGATTCCGATCACAAAAAGAGGAGTTCACGAAAAAAGTACTCGGATGAAAGTGACACCACAGAGTCCACTTCAAGCAGATCCAGTAGATCAGGTGAAAGATCTCGTCAAAGGAGAAGATCGCGTTCAAAATCACAATCCAGATCACGATCTAGATCAAAATCACGGTCAAGGTCTCGGTCTCGGTCTCGCTCACGCTCTCATTCCAGCTCTACAAGTGATAGCTCTACAAGCACCAGTGTTTCATCGTCTTCAGATAATGAAATAACTGATGTGTCACCACTGCCTTCTCCAGATATTAGCCCTAAGGGCTCACCACCAAGAATGTATAAAAAAGATCACAAGAAACATAAGAGCTCTGGCAGCAAAGAGATGTATAGCCCAAGACACAAAGATACTGTGCAATATGATAGCAAAGGCAATGCATATGATGAATCTAAGTATGCCCGCACTAACTATAGAGATGAGCTTCTTAGAACATCAGAGGACCAGATGGATTTACGGTCCCTCTTACAGGCAGTCTTAGAGATGGACAAAAAAGAACAAAAACAAAACCGTGGTCCGAGTGGGCAGAGATTTGTGCTGGTCCCTGTGCCTTCAAAGGGAAATCGTAAAAACTTTTCTTTTACTAATGATAAAGTGAGACAAATAGACCAAGAAAATAAAAGACTGCTAGAAAAGATTATGAGAGAAAAGAGTGCAACTGCTGCGGCTAAGAAGAAGAAGACACCTGCCAAAATTGCAGTTGATCCTCCAGTTCGCAGGGTCACCCATGCCACTGTTAATCGACAGAGGGAACAGAGAAGAATTGAATTAGAAAACCTGGTAGGTATTAACATGAAGAATCATGCATGACATTTCCTAGTCAACTGACCTCACAAGGCTTTGAAATTTGACATCATTTAACCTATTGATTATGACAAATGTCTGTGTAGAGTCTTGTTAAATTTCTTACACTTATTGAATATTGGATGCCCAATTAACCTTTCCTGCACAGCTTCTCTTTTCTCTTTTGATCATTAACTAAAATTATTGGAATGAAGAAATGTATTACAGTATTGATCGCATCTTTATGTAATACAACCAATAACCAAATTTCAGTTTGCCCTTTATATTCTATACACCTGAATATGAGTCTGAGATTGATTCTCAATTTTTAGGCATCCCTGATTTTTTTTTAATATGGAAAAAATATTTGATATTCTTTTTGTTGTGCTAGTGTAAAAAAAGTGTTGAAAGAGGGGTAGTCATGTTTCTTCACTGAATTTTAGATTGGAATATCATTTTTATTCCAGTTTTGTGAGACTGGTTTTTGTGAAACCCATTTTCTCTTATAAAGAGTGTTGAATGGAATTTTTTCCATTTCCGATTTAGTTTGTATATTAAGTGTAACCTTACCATCTGGATCTAACAATGGAAGACAGCACCTTATAAGTGCCTTGTGTAATCATAATCCTACTGCTTGCAGATTACAATAGAAATCAAGGCATCCTTGACTACAATATACACAAATACGTTACGTGATCTGATTGTACAGTAATTTGCTCCTTCAAACTTACGTTTCAAATCAGTGGACCACAATGAAAATTGAACAAAGGTTTTAGTCTTTGGGAACTCCTTTGTGAAAAAAGTACTAGTGCTCATACACATTTTACAGTTTATTGTGACTCACTACTGAGAGAGTTAAATCATTTTTTTTTTTTTTTTTTTTTGAAATCATATTGTTGATTTTCTAGTATAAAAAGAATAAAATGTAATTGGATATAGCAATAAAACATTCTATGCATAATCATATTGAATAATGCATGTGCATTTTGCCGTACATTAAAAGCAGTGATGCTGCATATAAAATATTTAATACCACTGTGATCGTTAGCAGCTACTTTTTGAAATATATGAAGTAGTAGATATGGATTTTGCAAATACAGGTGGTGTAGACATAGCTTATCAGTCTCATCAATATGTCAATCATTGGTTAATGGTTTGGAATAGTAGATATTGTTCAAATAGCAACCAAGCATGAATGTTTACTCTTCACATTTATTGCTTCTCTGATTTTGTACTAAATTTTCTAAAATGTCTGTGAAAAATAAGCTAATCGATTAAAACACCAGAGTTCTTAAAAATTTTTGGGTTACTAAATTGAATATCTAAAGAATAACACATTGATCACATATTAGTAAATCTGCTGAACAAATTGAACACTCGACTTATCAGGTAGGAAGTACTAGCTACTGATGACCAAATTTGACTTGCCAGAATTTCAAATTCTACATCAAATATGAAATGAGTTGCTGAAGCCCAACCTTAGCCTGCCATGATCCAACGCAATATTAATCATACATTTTTCATTCTTAGGAAATATTAAAACGTCTCCAAAACGTGGGTCCCACACAGGGCATGAGCCGCACAGAGCAACTCGATGAATACAAGCGCCAAATGTTATTGGGCGTACCAACCTATGGCCTTGATCTTCACCAACCAGGGTATATTCCGCAAACAAACTACGCAACCAGGAGGACCAGACCGAGCTCAGCAACAAAGAGGCCAAGCAATCCGTACACAGCTTCAGCCGCTCTGGGAAAGAAGTCCCAGAGTTTAACCAGCCTTAGGTCAGCATCTGGTAGTTCTGGGAAACGGAATAGCTTGGTGAATGGGAAGACAAGACCTCAGAGTGCTAAACAGATGCTGTCTAGCAGGCCTGACTGGGAAGCAGGGTGGTGATTGGTGAAAAGTTAAAAAAAAAGAAAAAAAAAGATAATTAGTTCAATATTACTGTTTGAGATGATATGAGGCATTAAACAAGACTTACCTATAAGCATCTCAGGCATCAGGCAGTGTTGCAGATCTACAGAAATTTATGCTGAAAATAGCAATTTGTATCATACCATTTCAGCGAATTGTAGATGTTGGAATTCACAACTGATTTGCTTGACCTATGCATTCATATTATGTGATGGCACACTCTAATTGAAATAGCTGTTTAAGTTTTGTATTTTAAGATGAACCTTCAGTTTTTGATGTGGACCCATTGGGTGGGTGGCCACAGAGAACAATCTCTAGTTAATCGACTTAATGCTTTGAAAACCATCATGTCCCTTAAGATTATATACAAAGTTCCAGGGGCTTAGTTTTGCCTTCCCCAGTCTGGTTTGTTTATTAGTCTTATGAAAAATATGTTTACCATGAAATTACATTTTTTTATAGTCAAATTATACACCACAGGCAGTATATTTACTGCTGCTTTACTCATTAATAGTCAATAAGCATGGAGCACTACTGCGTCAATAGCTGTTGAATGTCTTTTTCTATAGCTCTGTTGATCAATAAGTCACCCATCTGTATCAGTCGGAGACTTAATATCCTACTGAAGCTCACATTTAGAGTGCAATTTATGTTCACATTTCTGTAATGACACACTTGTTAATCATTTTTTTGCTGATGGCAGTGTACATAATATCATGTATAGGCTCTGAAATGCACACCATCTGAAGAATTCATTAGAGAATATATATTAATTTAGAGTTTGAATGTGTATACTTTAAATCAATGAGGTTTCATAATTTTGAATCAAGACATGACTCTTTAAAGATAAATGTAATCAGGTCAGACATGTGAGTCAATATTTTTTCTTTATAAGAAAACTTAACATTTACATCTGTATCAATATGTGATTTAGGGCTATGTATATATATGACATTATTGGTAACAAATTTGGGTTAAGTCATTGGGAGATAAATGTTCTTAATATGTTCAAGATTATGTAACAGGAACAACAAACTTGGTCATGAGCTAGTTAGTTGTCTTTAAATTACTTTGACCCCACGGCCAGTCAGTATAAAGATATTTGTACTTATAGTTTGGAATGTGTGGGAGCACCTTTAAAATGAAACAGGGTTGTTATTATATCTTGCTATGCCATTTGTAGAGATCTGCACCTGTACTATAAAAGCACTGTTTTTAATGCTAAAATATCTTTGCTATTATATGAAGGTGCTATAAAATCCTTGGTGTAAGTTTTGAAGGGTAATTTTCTGCTATGTGTTGCTCATTAGATAGAATGCTGCACACATCTTAAAAATGATTCAGGTTAAAATTTCAAATAATTTTTTAAATTTTGGTTCCAGCTAAACAACTTTAGTAGTAGTGTAGATAACAGTGTTATGAATTGTCATTTTACATCCACATTTTTTGGCCAAATAATGAGTCAAAATTTGTATGTGTTTTTTCAGAATTTACTTTTTTGTATAATATTTTGAAATGGGGCATATGACTTTATAAATGAGAGAAAACTATATTTCATAATGTATGTTTGACATCATGGTTAATATAATTTAATGAAATTGATGTAAAGAGGAAGAATAAATTTGATCTCATCTCCATAAGTGAAAAATATTCTTAATATTAAAAGGCTCTAGCTTTCAGCATTGTCTTATTCACACTGTGTATATACAGATGGCTTCTCTATTCAAGCCAACTTTTTTTTTCTTTGCCAAATGAAAGCTTATCATGTGATATATTTCTTTGACAATCATGATGTAGATCTTGAACTTTGCAATTTTTTTGTTAATTTGACTTTACATTAGCATTCAATAAACTATTCAACTGACATGAGTTGATTTCACAAAGGGAAAAAAGTTAAATATAAATCTAAAAATGTCATTTCAACATTGCTATCTCCACAAAGCAATATAACTGTTTTCTTGTTTCATTATAAAACTTCAAAATTCATTCCACCAATTAAAAAACTTTTATTCATTGCTTTCATTCATATGTTTATAGTAACAACTCAAAATGTTCTGTGAGGATTATTATATAATTTGCAACATCTCTGCAAAGTAAGTACCACAGCTGACTGGAGTAATATTTTCAACATTTTCCATCTGGAGATCCAAGCACTTCTCTATTGTCATATCTGAATCAAATTTTCATTAAATTAGTCTTTCTTTTGCTGCGTCTTCTCAACAAATTCCCATGTAGAATTTTCTTTGGATATGTCCTGGAAAAACAAATACAGACTGAATAAAATGAAGGAAAAAAGAGCAGTTAACAAAAAAAGAAATGCAATCTTCCATTTGCACCCGCGATTATCAAATATAAAAGTTTGGGGACGTAATAAAATGTACTTCTTATAAATTAATCACCACTTGTACAGAAACCAGCTATTAATTAAATATCTTTAACGTTTTGCCCAAATCATTATACAGAAAGGATTGATTTCAATAAATAAATAAGAAGCAACAAAAAAATGAGAATTTTGCTGTACACAATTGTTACATATGCAGACCGACATGTATTTTGTGGAAACGCAAAGTAATTGACCTTGAACCTCAAGTACTGACCTTGACCTGGATACCTATCCCCTGCAAGGATCCCCTCAAATCATCACAAGCCTTGAGCAGTGGCTGTCTGTTGTAGAGGACTTCTTTCTTGATTTGTTTTTTAGCACTTTTATCAGTTTGACCTGCTCAAAGTTACACAACATGGCTGTTAAACAAATACTAAGATTTGCTAATATTCTGAGATATTCCTTTGNGAACCTCAAGTACTGACCTTGACCTGGATACCTATCCCCTGCAAGGATCCCCTCAAATCATCACAAGCCTTGAGCAGTGGCTGTCTGTTGTAGAGGACTTCTTTCTTGATTTGTTTTTTAGCACTTTTATCAGTTTGACCTGCTCAAAGTTACACAACATGGCTGTTAAACAAATACTAAGATTTGCTAATATTCTGAGATATTCCTTTCTCCTAAATACAAGTAAAACTTTGAAAATGAAACAACAATCAGATTTAGCCTGATACATAAATTACGAAAATCGGACATGGCTTGTCAAATGTGTAAATGTGAATGGGCAATACAGCAGACCAGAAGTTACAAAAACAGGAGAAATATTGTATAATTTTTACTCCAAATCAAGGTAATACAATTACTTATCTAATTACCTTCCATTTGTTTATCTACTTCAGCATTCACATCCAATGCCCATAATCTAACACTCTTCCTGAATTCTAACACTTCATCCATCACTTGTCCAAGTTGTACTGCTGAATGGGAGTCTTCACTAGCACCCTTATATGAATGAAAATATATACTGATGCTAAGTTGATTAAACTTTCAAAATTCAAATTAATTTATTGAACTTAAATAAGTTTCTTTTCCATATAATGTGGCAATAAATGATACTGCCGTCTTATTGCATTTCATAACTAGGTATAAATAACAAGAATTTTTTTTCATTTGTTTCAAGAATAAACCATATAAACACTCGACCACTTTTTTCACTAGCATGCTCATACACACACACATATATATATATATATATATATATATATATATATATATATATATATATATATATATATATATAAGTTTGAAATGCTCAAGATTCACATACCTTTCTCCCAACAAATCCTACGCCCATGTTATTCATAGTCTGTTCTATAAATTCTGCAATGGCTGCAACAGCAGCAGGATGCCTTGAACCTGAGCTCTGTGCATGAAAATAAAAAAATCATAAAATGACATAACATACCCAAGTTATGACCACTTACTTTTTTATTACAAAATATTTCCAAAGACAAAACATATCAGGTACGTATTCACACAAGATTCCATTTTTAAGCTGTAGTTTTTTTCACAGTTTCAGCCCAAAGAGTCTGAAGTTCATACATTCAAAACACATTTTTTAACAACAAGCTGCTCGTTACCTCAGCGTCTGCTCGTTTCCCAATTCCAAGTGACACATTTGCTGAGTATACTAAATGTAATATATTCTCGACAGCTGCTTGAGTGTTGAAGTCATCAGTCAGAGATTCCATAACCTTACTTCTACTGTCCTGAAGGCTAAAAAAAAAAAATTTCAGCACTCTCAATGCACAGTCAGTTCACAAATGAAGCTAAAATTTCAATTTCAATACAAGATGAAATATTGTCCAGTCATGTATACATCATGTTCGTGTTATAAATAATATCAACAAGATATCAAGTTATCAGATTTATTTCCTTTTCAATTACAGATAATTGTGGTGTACCAGTACAGTGCATTCTGTTCACCTTTTCATGAGGTCTGCAGGACTGAATGTTTGGCACTGTAATTGTCCTTTTACATACAAATCTGCTGTGTTGAGGAAAGACATCAACTGCTGGTGTATTGCAACAGCCCTTAACATTGTCTCATCACTGTACTCCAATCCTTAGACGAAAATATTTTGATGCAATCAATCAATCATATATTAACAAGATTGATTAGCATTTTTAGCTTTTAATTAGTATTTTTAGTTTTTCTCTCAGAATGTCATTTACCTAATAAGTTTTCGTTGAATCTTGCGCCAAACTTTGTAAACTGTATTTTATTAAGTTTAACCTTGCTATTATTAATCTGCATGTATTGATTGAATTTTTGTCAGAATAACCAAAAGCACTGATGCACACTTTATACCATATATACATCAATATACGCACTGTTCCTATATGGTGAAAGCATACAAAACATCCTGAACTGATTGGCTGTATATGTCTGCAGTAGTTCTGTTATAGATAATGTATTTTTCAAAGATTTGGACATCTTCTCAGCATCACCTTTTGAATGCAGATGTCCTGAAATATGAAGGATTAGACAAACTTTCTAACAACAATGTTCATATACATGTAGGTTTCATATATTTGTAACAATATAAACTTAACACCCATTGTACCATACTTACATTTGAATGGATTATTTTTACTATTAGAAACCAGTAAAAAGAACAACTCAGTTGACAAAAATGTGTTAGACCGCATTCTCAACGAATTGAGCCAGGCTTTACAAATCCTGAGAACTAAAAATGGCGGACGTACATGAAAGAAAAAACGCCTAATCTTTTAATAGTCTCTCCGCCTCTCACACGCCTCCCCACACGTCGTCCCTGCGGGGTACAGTAATTAAATGTTGGCTCCGAACATGAATATCTCCGTGAATATTTCTGGTGATATTATCTCCGTAGATAGTCGATTCATTGCTGCTCTACGGGCCAATTCATTCCTTTTTCGTCTCTGTTTTGAAAGATAATAGAACAGAAGAGCTTTTTTCCTTCGATCGCCTTCAGCTGCCATGTTTTCTTCACCACGAGTTTAACTGATGAGCATGCGCACTTAATATTTTTCAGGTAGCTTTCGCATGGCGAACGGAGCCGAGATTTAATTACTGTACCCGCAGGGACGACGTGTGGGGAGGCTTGTGAGAGGCAGAGAGACTATTAAAAGATTACGCGGTTTTTCTTTCATGTACGTCCGCCATTTTTAGTTCTCAGGATTTGTAAAGCCTGGCTCAATTCGTTGAGAATGCGGTCTTAGTTTTAACTTTTTGTGCAAAATAATAATAATAATAACAGGGTAAAGCCTATATATTTAATATGGAAACAACAGAAATGAGAAAAAATTGCAGCATAAGATTTGATAAGACTGTTACCTGTATGCATCCAATAATTGCACCACTGATCACAACCAAGACAAGCCTGGGACTGGGCCAGTTCATTTTCATGGTGTGGAAACAAAAGGTCTTCACCACCGGTATGAATATCAAGTTTTTCTCCAAAGATAGAACTGTATAAAAGATTATCAAAACCCTTACTAGCTGAAACATTTCATCTTTTATTACCAATACCTTATCAGTTCTACCTCTTGTTTAAGATCGTCATAATATTCTTACATTAAGTTAATTACAAGAAACAGTCCATTGCAGATGTGTTAAGAACCTTGCTGGTTGCATAACGTGTATTTAAATGTGTGGATGTGCCCGGCATGTGCATGGATAAGTGTTTGTTAAGGTGTATATCATAGTTCTGTTCACCTGCAAGCATGCAAGCACACTTATTTGTGCATAGCATGCATAGCATATACTCACTGTGCCATGGCTGAACACTCTATATGCCAACCGGGTCTTCCACGACCCCAAGGTGATTCCCACCATGGTTCTCCAGGCTTAGCTGCTTTCCACAAGGCAAAATCTCTTGCACTTCTCTTTTCTGGGATTTCTGAAATATATGACGGGTACGTACGTACATGTATCTATCAACTTATGCACCAATTGATTGAATAATTTAATGCCTTGTTTTGGGCTTTTACACATGCTGACTATTTTTCTGTAACAGTTATGCATTTGTCTTTGGGATATACATGTTTTTTTTTTTCAGTATGTTTGTAATAGAATCTGTTAAAGTCATTCACAAACCCGCATCTCTTATCTGTGCATCTACACTGTGTGTCATCAATTTCCCATAGTAGCCATACTGTTCCACATCAAAATAGACACTACCTATGAAAGAGTTAGGGAAAGCTTTCTGTTAAACATTCCGGAAAAGAAACAGTTGTAATAGCACTCGAGCTTTAAATGTAATTTTTCCATTTTGGCAATTTTAATGTGCACTTTTTAATAATCATACAAAGCTTTTTGCATAAAAATCATTATTTCTGAAGAAAAATTAAGTGATCTATAGATTATAACCATACTAACCATCTTTTGTGACATATGCTAATTTTTTGTCCATAATTTGCCTAACAAAATCCAATATCTGTGGAATGTGCTCAGTGACTCTTGTCTTAACAGCAGGTGGTAACACATTAAGAGACAACATATCCCTGTCAAACTCTTGCTCATACTTTCTTGAGATTGTACTACAATCTGACTGAACCTGTAAATCAATAATACCAGAATATTAAGAGAGTATATACAATTTTGGCAATGAGTTTTAATCTGTTAGTGTGCATCTGAAACTGAAGGTAAATTATCATATTCTAATTTTGGCATATCACTCAAAATTCTGTTAATTAATAAGCAAAACAAGGAATAATTTCAACAATAGTTACTTTGAAATATTGGACATTTGAAGTTACACATTTGTAAATAAATAATGACTAACCTCTATTGATCTTTTTATTATCTTGTCGTCTATATCTGTTATTCCCATGACTTGTACAACATTAATATTAAAGATGCTTTGAAGTATTCTTTTTATGATATCAAACCGAACATATGAGCTGTAATATAAAAAATGCTGTATTACTACAAAAGAATTCATTAATGTTATGTAAAGAAGCAGTGTTTAACATAAATATATATTTCAATGTTACAGTTGTATTTTTGAAATTAATTTTTAGAGTGTCATTGACTAACGTTGGTGTCTTTATACACAGAAGTTAGTTTACATGTACTATTAGTAATCTGCAATATCAAGACTGCATCTAAACTAGTTCAGCTACTTTTGTTCAATTTCCTGTGTACCTAGCATGTCCTATGTGAGCTTCATCATAAACTGTTGGACCACACATATACCTGAAGAATATATCAACATTACTGAGTATACGTGTATAAAGCACAAAATCTAAATATTTCAAGATCATGTTGCAATCTCAAAGATACACTAAAATGCAATAACCTTTATAAGTGAGACAGGTGTGGCAAGGCTCATTAGACAGTGCTTGTCGTGTTTTTTTTTTTTTTTCTAAATCAAAATGAATTTTTAAAAGTTTCCTTTATTCTTCAAAAGACCCAAGATTTTATGTTAATTGAAAAGGGTAATGAGGATTAGGAAACACATACCAGAAAGCTACAGGTCCTGATGGGAGAACTAAATAGTCCTTTTTTCTTGTTAAACTGTTGTATACTTTAACCCCAGTATTATATCCCTGTGGTTCAATCCAAGCTGATTCATTTTTGGTTTTGAAAGAAGAGGTTGTGCTGAAAAGTTTTGGATAACTGAAATTTCTCCCCTCTGAATTAGATATCCTTGACGCACATTTGACACATGCCCAATACTTGGAATATCCAACAGGTAAAGCCATCATTATAAAATTGGTGTCAATATGTAACAGACCCTAAAAATTGTAAAACTCCACACATTCATGCTGTTTCCATTGAATTCAACCTTGACCCATTTATAAGTCACACAGGCTAACGCGTGTATATAAGTTCATTACACATTTTCAAACAAAAGTAAAAGTCCTGAAATTCTAGTTAAATAGTTTGCTTTTGTGAATACTTTTGCATTATTTATGCAAATAATTACTTAATAAAAATATTCATGACTTTAAGTGGTTTTTTAACTATTGACCTATATAAAATCTCAGTATCAACAATCCGTTGTGATGAAAGCACCATCGCTAAGAAAACGAGGTCATCGAAAGCGGTATTTGAAAGGGAAATACGTCTTTTGATTGAGTATTTTACCCATTAGTCTTTCCAACAAAATAACTGTATATCAATTTCCATGTTCTAGGACTGAAAGAAAATGAGTCTATTGAACCAGGCAGCGGTTGAAGCGCTGTGTTCAGCGACTTACTTGGACAATTATCTTGACTGCCTGGATAGCTTGCCTGACGATCTTCAAAGGGTTATTTCGCAGATGCGTGAACTAGATGCACAAACTATTGGTAAGTAGTGAGGTCATTGAAAAAAAAAGAAACCAAAGGTGATCTCAGAATCAGTTACTTTACGCTTTAGTTAAAGGATAATAACATTTTGATCCTCCCTACCTTCTCAAACAAATATGACTTTGCCATTTGCAGTTTAAATAATCGTTTACTCTAATTTCTTTTAAAATTAAATTCTTTATTAAATTACTAGTACGCTGACATTCCCTTCATGAATTCAACAAAATAAGGTCTGTTTCAAATTTGAACGCATATTGTAGAAAGAATGTGGTAACTAAAACTCCTAGGTTTTGCACACATTAACAGCACCTAATATAACCATTTAGAATTTATACTAGTATTCTTAATTTCAATTCCAACAGTTGCAATAGGTTTGGAGATAGAATACTTGAAAGTTGATGCAAACCCTTATGCCATCTTCAAGTTCCCAATTTAACCAGAAGTGCTTCTTGTCATTCATTAGTTATATGTGAGATGCTGGTGGATGATTTTCTGATGTCAGGAGACTTTGTAGTTTTTCCAAATGCAAAGAAAGAGACCCTGCTTGATTGAACATATTATAGTCAACTCAAAACTTGAAACATAATCAGGCAGATAAAATAGTGCATTTCCAACCTCAAATTATCAGATCAAAAAATGTGCTATAGACCTACCTTACTCAGATATTTTGCATTAAATACGTATGAGCACATTTAAACTTGTTATATATTTTGTAACTTTTAACCAGACTTTAACACAAAGAAATTGGTCATTTTATAAACACATGAAATTAATTTTAATTTTAGTCTAAAATGAATATGGCAATAAAATCATTATCTTATATTAAAAAAGGGCTTACTTTTTTCTTGTCTACAGTGCCAATTTCATTAAAAGTGAGTCTGCATTTAGTCATTTTTTTAAATTGTATATTTAGTTTACTTTTTGACTTAGTCTACTGGTAGATATATATTTGCTCTTAATAGGACGTGTTTCTTGAATCTTGATTCATTGTTTTACCAAATTTTTTTTCAACAGATATTATGAATGATCTGGAGCACCACCATGAGAATTATCAAAACGAGAATGATGTAAACAGTGTGAAGAGGTCCATCATACAAGTTCAGAGATGTCTTATCAAAACTACAGAAATAGGAGATGAAAAGCTTCATCTGGTCTCACAGATCATTGAATTTATTGAAAACAGGACAAGGCAGCTTGAACAGGATTTGGAAAATCTAGGTAAATTGTTGAAATTCAAACTTGAAAAGTCTGTGGTATATTTGTTGATTTCCAAAATTATTTTGTTGATGTTGATATTGAAAGTGTCTCAGTGTAGAGTAATCTGTAATGTAACTTTTTGTTGAGATAAAAGTTTATGAACAAGTTTGCAAGTTGTATTTTTTTTTTACATGTGTGCATTTCGGCACTCTTGCCAACTCAAGATTTTTTTTTATGTATTTTCTTTGAAGTACTAGTAATTATTTTAATATTTAACTTGATTGTTATAAACTATTGTGTAACTAAGCACTTTGTTAATGATAGTAGCTTGCTACTTCCCTATTACCTACAGTATTACTTTCTCATATATGATGCCAAACAATTCATGTTCAATATAATTGTGTGTATGTCATATTTTATCATATGTATTTGAACAAATGAAAAAAACTCAACTTTTAGGTGACAGTTTGTACAGGTGATAGATGCAGTGTGTGTGTGTGTGCTTGTACATGTGCGTGTGTGTCTGCTTGTACATGTGCGTGCCTGGATAATAAGTATTCACTCCCTTTCAGCTATGCAGAAACCTTTAATGGGAGCAATTAAGAACAATTGGGGTTGCTGTGTAGCTCATGCTGATCTGTTTGATTGCTCCAGTTGTAATCTGTCAAATTAAGGATAAAGGGTTGATTAATAGTGCCTTTGGTGATTGCACTCACCATTATTAATTTGTATGATTATAGAAGGGGGGATTGCAAGGAAATGATATTAGCTTGATTGGATGAGAGTAATTAGGCAGAGTTTTCTAATTGTGCTCTGCGCATGTTTTTTTTCACGTAGTGAGAACAAGTTATATTTGAGTAATTCATATATATACATTGTATTGAAAATAGCAAACAGATTTTATGTACTTATAAATTTAACACTCATAGAAGTTTTATTGGTTTCAGTCAGAGCGTCATTGTTTATTGCAAATCATTTTATTTATTGCTCATGAAACAATGTGATAATGTCTCTATTGTGGCTCAAATCATCAGAATTTCTTTAGTCCTAAAATCCTTTTCAAATACAATTGAAAAGACAAAAATCCATACTTTAGGTTGGCTTAGAATAGAATTGTCTTGTCCAGCTGATGTCAAAGAAGACATTTAATCCTACAGTGTCTCCTGAAAAAGAAAAAAAAAGAAAATATCATGATATCATCTGAAACAAGAACATTCTGCTCTGTGCCATTTTGCTATTTTACTTGCCATGCTTTTCGTATTTATAACTAATCTGAATGTGAGACTTGAGTGTCACTTTTTCACTATTGAAGTAGTCGTTTTTTCTTTCTGTAGATTCCCTACCTGGCCACACTGATCATCGCAATACAACTAAAACTGACTACAAAAGTACAGCAAAAAATAGTAACAGGGGTTAGTGCTGTTTTGTGAATATGTCATTTATCAAAACTGTACTGTACAAGCATGTGTATAGTGCATAGTTTGAATGGCATTTTTGGACATTCCCGTTACCTGCATCTTGATCAGATATGTTTGTTAACCATGTGGTATTTTGATGGTTGATGAAATGGATGGGTATGCTTCCAAACCTTTTCTTTTTTCTGTATGCACCTGTACCCCTGCACCTCTTTGACAAAGGTAAAAGAAGCAAAAATTTGATTATTTTACTCCTGAGTATTTGTATCAAAACAAAACCAAGCTGTTTTAGAAATGTGTTTTGTGTGATACAAATATATATGCTTTCCTTGTAAATTTGGTATCATGGACCTTTTTTTATCTTAAAGACACATTGACATTTCCAAAGCATGCATCCTCTTAACTTTCTTCCCACAGAGCATGTCTGATTATTGTTGATTGCCTGAGCAGTTAACTGCACACCAAATTACCTCCAAATATGTTAGTGCTTCTTCTTTCAAACAAAAGAGAATGCAATGGAAAATATAGTAACATCAACAGAGTTTTAGGAGCCACTTGCCCTTGGATAGTTTTTCAACGTTAAAGATAATTGACTTTGGCCAAATGAGTATTATTATTATTATTATTATTATTGCTTTATTTTTTGTTTCTTATTATTTTACTTAATTGTCAGTTAAGTGGGAAATAAGTTCTTTTGTTGAAACAAAAATGTTTCAGTGACCACAGGATTAATGTAATAAGCTTTGTGATAAAAATAACTGTTTCATCTTTAAGTGCTTTGCTAAGAACCCTGTCATGGTTTGTAACATGTTTACATATATAATTGCGATTTATCTCTATTGTAAATTATCTCTTGCAAATGTAACCAACTTTTGCTGTGCTAGATTGTTTTATTTATTTTTAGTTATTTTGATTTTATTTGCTTGTATTTCGTGATTTCTATGTATTTTTTTTTTTCCAGTTATCTGTATTGATTTAATTTATATTTAGGAAGAACTTCTTACTTTTGATTTACTATATCAAGTCGATTCCTCAGCTTGCTTTTGTTTAACAAACTTTTAGCAGAATATTTATTTTTACTTATCTTAAACTATTGATGTGTAGCTGAAACACCCTGATTAATGGTCATATTGTTGCCAAGAAGAACTCTCAGTTAATATAATCTCTGAATATATTGTATGTTTCTTACATGCATTTTCAATTAAATGCTCCAGAAATTAAATTGAATGCACATTTGGTTTTACAACTTGTTGAGCTGTCTTAAATTCCAGCAAAATGGGCAATTTCATGGTGTTTAAGTATTTGGCCTGCAGTGGACATCACTTTGAAATTGCCCACATCTGTTATTTCTCTTCTGTAGATTCAGTCCTGAGTCCTGTGCAGGCACCTAGTGCAGGCAAGACTGACAATACCAAAACTTCTTCCAAGAGCAGTGTTGGCAAGGGTCAGTAAATTGCTGGGCTCTGCTTTACTTGCTTATGTTATGGGTGATTTTCAGCCTATACATCAGGTCTATCCAGAAAATATATGAAATTTGTAATGATAGCTAAATATGCCTAATCATATATAAAAATTTAATTGCAGCAAAGTTTTTGAAAAGACTCAACTTTGATGAATACATAGGCATTTTATTGGAATGTTTTTCATATATTAATTTATTGACAATGCAATTTACAGGATACAAATTATTTTCTATGCAAATAATATCCTTTTGATAATTGGAATGGGTTTTCATCAGTTCACAGCTTTGTTGGCAATTTAGCTGTCTTCTGAGATCTGCAATCATTCACCTGCTTCAATTATAGTCCAATGAGGCATTTCTCATTTGGAGAAAAAGTCATTAACAATGTTTTTTTTTGCATTTATGTAATTTTTTTATGCTAAAATGATTTAAGCCTACAGTTTTGCTATTTCAAATACGATTTGATCTTATTTTCATAAGGTGGAGAAAACCTAAGTTGTAAATAATTGACATGTAGCTCTTGTTGTATTTTGCAATACACAAATAAAGTGGCATCATACACTTTAGTAAGAGGTCATCAATTTTTATCATCATTTTCACAAGTCTACAAACCGTACGCTGGTGTGTGTGTGGTGGTGGTGGGGGAGGGGTGATAATTCCCACTGTACACTTTTGAAAAATAATAAAAGTGATTGGTGTCAAAGGTCATCATTTTTAGCTTTTTAACCTAAAACTGTAGTCTCTTGGGGGGGGGGGGGGGGGAGTCTGGAAAAGTCTACTCTTTTTAGACTTGTAATTATGATGATAAAAATGGAGCTGATGAGAAATATATTAATTATATTTGAATAGCATACATTTGTATTCAGATTTTGATGATAAATGTTCCTTAGTATCTCCATGATTTTTCTACTCGGTTAACTTGGTGGCCAGCGCTTGGATAATGTTTTCATTGGGGAATGGGTTATGAAAATATTATCAGGGGATTAGAAATTTATTTCCCTAAAAGCTCCATGCTATCGCATTTCTGTCACAAATGCAGACTGCACATTTTTGGTTGACCCACACACCCAGAAACTAACAGCTACTAACAGGGTACGTGGGTCTTGCTGTTTATGCAGGATCCAAAATCAGAGTCAATTTGCGATAAATAATTTCTTATTTTTAAATACTGCTATCTGTGCTTATCATCCAAAGGCCTATTTGCAGGCATTTCATTTTGTTGGAGATTTGTGAAAGTTTTGTGGTTTGATTTTTCATATAATAAAATATCAAATTTATTTTTGTTGGTATTATGCCCTCTGTTCACTTTTGATAATGAAATCTCTGGCAATGCATGTGCTTTCCAATTCCACCAACTGCCCCTTTTATTTTGGAGTGCATCCTGTAGGACTCATAAAATAAATCCTCTCTCAATTTTACTTATTGACACTAACACCAGCAAGGTAACAAAGTCTTTATTTAGAAGTATGGGGTTTTGTTGCAAAGAAATCAATTGCTTCAATTAAAAATATTGTCTTTTCGAATAGAATAGCATGATGTATTATTCTTGTTCAAATATGAGTAAGTACTCACCCATTCATGTAGTATTTTTTACAACCTTTAGGTTATTTCAATAATTCTCAATAATCCTGTTTTTTTTTTCACTTACTGTTACAGACCAAGACCTATTAGTTATGGTATCTCAAAGGCAACACTAGGACATTATTTACAACAATAACATGAAATTACCAAACTATGAACTCCACATTTTTTTTAAATTTCAGATCCATCTTCGCACATGATTCTTGACCACAGAGATGACACTCAGATGTCCAATAAGAGCAACAGCTCAACCTCAGTCAAAAAAGAGAAGAAAGAGATTTCCTCAGCCACTTCGATAGCTGCTACAGTGGCTGCTGTTGCAGCAGGCACCACCACCCCAATTACGTCTGATGTTGAACCAAAGATGGAGAAGGTGATGCAGAAGAGACAGCGGAGGCAAAAGAGAGAAAGGACGGAAAGTGTTAGCAAAGAAGAAGAAAAGAAGGTAAGTTCATTTATAGTCTTGGATAGTTCCCAGCTAAGAGAAAGAAAAGAGTGTTTGGAATTTGGGAAACTTTGGAAGACTAGTATAAATTTTGTTTTATATAATGGTCTGTTTATGTTATTTGGGCTACAATATCACATTTTTGCTGATCCTTTTTATCAGCAGCATATTTTTGGTGGAAATTATTCAGAAATAGATATAATTCAGACATCCGTAAGTCTTTTACTTTATGCCAAAACATTTTACAATTCAATAATTTAGATATCAATAATTCCTTTACTTTATGCTAAAACATTTTACAATTCATTTTAGGAGGAAAAAGAAAAGGTGAAGAAAAAGAAGAAACGCAAAGTTAAGAAAGAAAAAGAAGACCAGAGAATAGAGAACCCAATTGATCCAGAAGAACCTACTTTTTGTTTATGTGATCAGATATCTTATGGAGAAATGATTGCTTGCGATAACGAACAGTGTGAAATTGAATGGTTCCATTTTAACTGTGTACAGCTCTCTACAAAACCAAAAGGGAAATGGTTTTGTCCTAACTGCAGGGGAGATAAAAGTAATGTAAAAAGGGCAGATCTAAAATGACTAATTAATTAGACGCGTGCCAGAATGACATATTATGCTATTTGACAAAGAAGCAGGAAACTTTCAATCTTGCCCTGATTTGTAGATGTCTGGTTCTTTCTGAACAACGAGAGGTATAGAAATAGTGTAAAAAGACACTGCTGGTGTGACTCTGTGAGCAGGCTGCACCAAAATATTGATTCATGTTAATGGTATGGTCAAAGATTCTCACTTTGGGATAATTTCATATAAAATTAGTTCGGTCTGTATTTCTTTTCAAACTGCAAAGAGTGAAAAGTTTGGTATACAGGTGTAATAGTGCATATCTGATGTTTTGAATAATTTCAATGTAAATTACTGTTATGACTGTTATGTTGTCAGGTCAGAATCTATTCAATCTTCATTTTGTAATGTAAAAATCTGTAAGTGATACATGATACAAGGTAAATGCATTAATTTTAGCATCATGGAACATGTAAGCCATCTATCAGGGATAGCTGTTGAGTGGAAATTCTTGTAACATTACATGTAGTTGAGTATCTTTCATTTAGGTGTAACAGATTAAGTGTATTTAAGCAGCTCTGTATTTTGAGAGATTGCTTTTTTTTTTTTTTTTCAAATTGAAAATTAAAAGAAAATATGCACAGAAACACTATTTACAATAACTGGGTGAATATAAAATATGAAATAAAAACGTGGAATTTCAAATGAAGTTTCTTTTTCATACAAAGGAATTTGTGTTTCTCTTGTCTGATCAGTATATTTTCAAATATAACTTATTTTCATTTAAGCACACTGTATTGTACTCAAATAAGGGTCTGTCCAGAACCAGTTGGTCCGTGGACTAACTAGGCCACGGATCGGATATATCAAATTCTTGACAATGAATTTCCACCTCCCATGCAAGCCATTCCTGTAGGGGCAGAGCAATTAAAGTTAGTCTGTGGATCAACTGGTCCTGAACAGGCCCTAAAATACTTTGTTCAGTAACAGTGCAGTAAATAAGTACATTTCAATTTGGCATGTTACGTGATAGTGGCAGCATAATGGACACTTAAGTTGAATGCAAGCACAAATGGAGACATTGCATTTGATACAATCTGCTAATTGAATGGTTGATTGTGATGAATAACTAGGAGAGAATTGTCAGGGGGGATAAATATATAAAGAGAGAACAGGCAGATGCATTAATATTTGCAAACTCCATAGAGCAGTAGATACGTTAAAATCTTGGTATAGAAGGGAAAATGGGGGCAGCCAATGGAAAAGTAAGTGATGACATTGCTTTGGTTGGTATTGGCAATGGTCAGAGAAAAATCAGCGTGGCTTATCCCAACGGCATGTTAGATACAGAAGAAGCCAGCAAGTGGTTGAAAGCATTAGCAACAGATGATAAAGATACTGTAAATTTCTATCTAGAATGCCATGGTGACCACTTAGCTGATAATAAATTCTGCTATGACAGTGATCTAGAAATTGCTACGTTTTGCAGAGAGTTTTGCCTTCCTCTGGCCATTTGTGCTTTCCAAGGAGCATTGAATTGTATAAAAGTTTTACTAAGCATTGGAGCTAAAGCCGATGTTGTGGACGTTGGTCATAACAATATCATCCATGCAGTGGCTTGGGGGTTCCATATCTGGCCACAAAATGAGCGGAAATACTTGGAAATTTATAAAGTTCTTTGCTCTGAATTGGACCTGGATACATTGACAGTTCTGCTTCATGGTAAAAACGACCTTGGCCTGAAACCAGTAGAATTAGCTGCAGCTCTAGGAAGTCTGGGGCTTATTGAAGCTATTTTCAACACGGAGGGTGTTTACATGAAACCGTACAGAACTTGTGGCTTGAAGCAGATCCTTTGGTATGATATTACAGAATATCATCCATCTACTCCAAATGGGCGTCTGCTGAAGTCTCCGCTCTTCATGTTGACCAGACTGGATACCAAACACCTAAACAATGCAGATACTCACAGGTGCCTGACGTCTCCTTTGATTCAGTCTTGGGTAAGGGCTGGAACAAAAAATATAAGATTTTCCCTGGCTTTAAGTGTTATTTGGAGATGCCTGTACACGCTGTTGTTTTGGTACACCGTCCTGAGCTTTCAGATAAGCATGGTGATTAAGCAAGAATTCTCCAAGCTCCCTACCCTTGCTAACGTATCCAATGAAAATGCTGAAATTTGTAGCCAAATGTCGGGTGAATCTACCAATGGCAGTTCCAGTGACAACACCACATACATGATAACCTCCAGCGTGGCCAATGAACAGTCACCTCCCTGTAAGCCACCTAAGACTCCTGAACTACCAACCTGTTTACATACCATTATTTCTCAAAGCTCCAATATTTTCCAGTACCATGCATCAGAAGCACTGGTCTATGTGATTTTGGCATTTGCAACAGTCAAACTCTTGGGACAATTGCTTGACTTTTTTGCAGTTGTCTGGAGAAGCCACCAACCAGAATATACATTTTTAAAATTGTTCAGGAATCGATCAACCATACTTTTTTTGTATACATATAAAGTAATTGATATCTTTCAGAATATTTTCATTATTATTGGTATAAGTATGCACACGTACGCAGCCACAAGTAACTCATATGGTTATCTGTTTCTTTCAGTAGCTTGCATATTCAATATTTGGTATGTTTTGTATGTTGCACAGGTTATGCCTCAGATAGGTTACTTTGTTATTGCTTTTCAGAGAATGATTGCAGATTTCATGCAATTTTTGATTCTGTTGATGCTAGTTCACATCTCTTTTTCTGTTGTGTTCTATGGGATACTTCGTGAGCATTGCATTGATGGGTATGAAGACTTTTTCGCAAGTTTTTACTCATCCTTTAAGATAATGCTTAACATGGAGGACATTGTAGGAAAGTTGGATACTCAAGAAAGCACTGTTACTCTTATTATTTTACACATATTGTATGTGTTTGCCATTCCCATTCTTTTGGTGAATTTTCTCATTGGAGCAATATCAGCTTCTGTGGCAAACATTGAGGACAACAAAGACATTATAATGACTCTCCAGAGAGCTCTTATTGTGTTTGAGAATGAACGTCTGCTCAGAGGAATACCCTTGGTGGACAAATGGATAGGTGGAGCTGGTGTTGTAAGGAAAGATGGGAGGGTGTACCTTACTGTAAATTGTCTTCTTCAGCTTCCTGGACAATAAGGGACATGCAGAGTGACAGAATCATTTCATATAATTGGCATGTCAAGTTTTAATATAATGCCAGCTATGTGTAAAATATACTGAGTATCAATATCACCTAACTTTATGCTAAAATGAATTATGCCATCTGGACACTTATATTTGCATTTTTTTAAAATAAAAATTAAAATAACCATTCATTGGTGACGTGTTAGAAAATGTGCATTTTTTTGTGACAAGCATTACTAAATGTGCACACAAGATACAGCATGACACACAAAAAATATAATAAAGTCTCTGATCATCAATATTATGGCTATTTTAATCAATAATGTTGGTGTTTGATCCATTTATGTTTGCATCATATGTCATTGTAATCAGTTAAAAGCTTTCTGCCAGAGACCTTTTATGTCTGCATAAACAGAAGTCAAAATGCTCTCCTACTAATATATCAAAAATGTTCATCAATCTGGGTTTCTGCCATTAATTTCATACCCTGAAAAAGACACCCCTTTCAGCAAATTCCAGACACTACTGCAAATGAGACAAGAATGTCTTGATACCCTTTTGTTGCAGAAAGTACGTTCTATTTCGATTATGTGACATATGATCATGTTTCATTGCTATTTTTATTCCACTGGTGTGAAACAGCCAAGAGAATTTCGGTCACCTTTTTATGCACCAAAAGGTATCATATCCTCTTTCTCTCATGTTTTAATTGGTTCCCAATTACCTAGGTCTCATTATTGTAACTTGTTCTTTCAATTTGTTTCATTTGGAATATGAAGCTTCATGTGTGCAACTTCAAGATAAACATAATTATGTTACTATTCATCTTCACAAAAAATAAATCCTGATATTAGTAGGAAAAATCAAACAGCATTTATATAAATAATACTAGCAATAAATAGATCTTAATTCCCATTGAATATTAATTCAACCTACATAAATATATTTTAAAATTAAAATTGATTTTAACACTTCCAATGACCATCTTTTTTCATTTAAAAATGATTACTAGAACAGACATCCAGAAGTCTACTAAAATGTTTGTGAAAATATTACCTCAAACGAATGCCTGGTTATCTTCATGTACTTATTTTACCTCCACATTGCCTTAACATAAAATTAATATAACCAAGATGATTTCCAAATCAAGTTTGTGTGAAAAGTTCTTATGTCTCTTGTCGCTGATGTGTAGCTATCTCTCCCAATAGGTAAAGTAACGTCACTAATATCCCACAGTCTAGAGCATTTTTTATGTGTACTTTTGCAAGAAATGATCCAAACATGGTTCAGACTCTTACTAGTTACCATGATGGTATTCCAGACACATGCGTGCACTGCTAACTTGAATCACAGCCTAGGAAAACTACCTGAAAATCAGCATCTATTTTGCTGCAGTATCAATGACAATGTGCATCTGTCTGGACATGTTTTCAGCTTGTAACAATACTCCCCAGACAGAGCTTACTGCTACCTTTTCAGTATGTTTATAAACGTTTCCTTTGGCACAGTAATTTTTCCAATTTTTCTCATTTTTTTCAACTTTTCAGCTTGGTTTTTTAAAAGTTTTTTTCTTCTTGTTATATCTCCACCATACTGAAATAAAAAAGAGAGATTAAACATTAAAAAATGAGAACTGTTTTACAAATCAGACTCAATGGCTCGGAGTCAAGAGAGGAAAAAGAAAAACCAAGAAACCCAATGACTCAAGTCTTATGTGAGTGTTTTGATGTTTTAAGCTTCTAACTTGCCAGAGGGAATTTTTCCATTGTCAAATCAAAATAAAATTATTTCCTCAATAAATTAATTCTATTTCTACATTTTTCAAATTTACACTGACAATCATCTAATTTTTTTCTGTCAAAAATGGAAGATAGACCAACAAGAACCAAATTACACAAAATCCAACTTGTAGAAATTGATAAATAGCACATGACGGGCAGAGTTTGGAGCTGATTTCAACACTACGTATTGTCCTTAATTTTAGTGTGTCCGCAATCAGAATCTTGGACATTTCCAACAAAACAACAGAGTATCTCAAAACATGACCCACTTACACATTTGGCAGTAACGTCTTTCTTCATAGGCTTGATATTTTCTCTGGCAACAACTTGCCCACCTATCCTTGCCTGGACTGCTATAAGGAACAACTGCCTGGGGACATTGTCCCTGAGTTTAACACACATCTCCTTGGCTTCTTGCACAGCTTTGGACGTGTGTACTAGCATGGATAGCTCCTCCACCTCATGATCATTCAAGTTAAAGGTCACCTGTGGGATGGAAAGTACCCATGATCACTGATATGTCATATCACACACTGAGGAGTTCCTTAAACAAATGCAATAGAAATGTGCATTATCCCTTTGAAGCAGTCATGACCATCATCATTCCAATGCTTCTATTGCATAGGTTTTCATTGCTTCCGTTAAGAGTTACTCTCATTATGTAATGCACATTCCCAAACCTACTCAATGCATCACATCAGATACTTCTGGTCAGGGAATTATATCGTAGACAATATAATTCCCTGTTCTGGTCAACCTAAAAACTTCAAAGTCTTTTGATTATACCAATTTGATGTAGCACTTCACTGATCAATCCAGTAATACAGGCTGCCTGAGGCATTATGTTACACTCCTAGACTGGTACATACAAACAAGATTTAATCCTAAAAATTATTGTAAGAGCACATTCATAACAGCAGACTAACATACCCGCGGATCAAATATGGCGATCCACTAAAAAGGTTGCCACTTAATTCTCAATCAGACACTAAATAAATTTCTCGCGAGGATTACGCAACAATCATTCAAGTGGGCTGGCCATATATGATCTGCTGTTCTGTGTGTGTGTGTGTGTGTGTGTGTGCGTGTGTGTGCAGGTGAGTGCACAATCACATGTGCATGTGTCACTTGCCATGCCATTTGAAATCCTTCAACTTTTTTCTTACCTTTGTCACCTGGGACTGTTGGTAACCATGATCTTCATAATCAAAACTGGAACATAATTCACAACATTATAACAATGTTTCCCTGTAACACAAAACAATTATTGCAGTTCTTTACTATCATGCCCAGTCTCACTTGTGGTATCTTAAAACTTTATACTAATATATAGTTGAATACCGAAGAATAGATTAAGGTAACTTTCACACGGAGACACAGTTGGACCATGTGCTCTCCAATTCACACTCCATGTTGCAGCTTGCCAAATAACATGGTAACTTTGATGCATTTTTTTGCTAGTTACCACTGTTACTCCCACCCTCTCTCTCAAACCACAAAAATGCAGGGCTTGCTATTGCTCAACTTTGTCTAAACAATATCACATTTCTGCTAAGACCTTATAGACAGTCTTACCTTAGCAATCTTCAAAACCAGTAATTTTTTTCTTGTTTGTAAATTTTTTTTCTTTTTTTGTGAAACAGGCCACAGGCTTTGAACGTCTTACCTTGCATATCCTGATGAAATGGCCTTCAATTTATCAAAGAAGTCCAACACAATCTCGTTAAGAGGTAGAATAAACTTCATCAATATTCTGTCTTCTCCAATATGTATCTCTTCTTCCAAATGGCCCCTTTTATCCTGAAATTTAATCAAGCTTTCATTTTCAAATTATAACCATCAAAATTATAATTTTACTGAGACATTTCAACTCAGAATAAAAACAATACAGTCAATTATCAAATTTCATAAGTGTGAATATTATTAAATAAAATTTCCTTAATTTTACAGCTATGAATTGAAACTAGACAGCAAAACTGGCAAATATACAGACACCATACAAAAGACAAGACAGCAAAGCTGACAAATGTTCAAACATTACGCAGAAAAAAGTGCACAAAATGTTTTGGCCAACTTTGATGCACTGTTACATAATGAATGCTTTAAAACAGCATTATCACTCTTACCCTCTTACATTATGTACTACAGGTAACATGGACATTGAAAAAATAGCAAGTGATTCAGTTCCATAGGATACAAAAGCCACTGAAAATGCTAATGTGTGAGAAATAAAAAAAAATTCAAAAAGAGAAAAAAAATTACTGTCAACATAAACCAATAATGCCCATGAATATAAAGTTAAACAAAAATACGGTAAAGTAAATATAAAGTTAAACAAAAATTCGGTTTGGCTGTTACGGGGCAAATGTCATGAGCCAGACAGCAACAACGTGGACAGACAGACCAATCAGAATATACACAGACACTTGCAGTGTCTCTATATAAAAAGAAAGAATACAATCAGAATTATGGTGAAATCATCAAACATGATTTTGTTGTGACTCGTCAGTTAAAGACCTGTCAAGATTTTTTGGAAAAATTAAAATCTAATAATCAATTCTTTTCAACTTAAATCATTTAATAAACGATTTTTGTAAGTGGACATGAGGAAGCTTGGAACATTAAGTGTTATTTAAACAAATCCAGAATTATTGGTTCACCTGACATAATGTTGTTATGTCTTTCCTGTACTCTGATGGCGTTATTACTGTGCCCTGGACCATGGGTTCCAACACTTCTGAGATGATGGCAGGATTTGGAAGCTGTCAAATATGAAACTTAAATTTAAACCTTCTCTAAAAACACGCAGGAGAAAATACAAGCTCATGCAAAAAAGGACTACACAATAAATTTTAAAGTGCTAGACAACAATTAGATACAAGGCAAATAATTAACTTTCACAGATTACAACAAGTACATTGTACAATGTACCATTTAGCTTTCACTTTTAATTTCTGTCTTTACAAGAAACAAAGCAAAACTTACTGCAAAAATTACATTTGATCAAAAACCATTTTTTTCTTATGGCATAACAGTGTGAAATAATTGACCAATGGAAATCATCTGATCATTTTTAGCCACGTGTAATCTGTTTATTCACTCTTTTAATAATATACATACAAAATGCCTTCTTCCCAAGAAATGGGTTTTTTCTTACCTTGCTGGGATTTAATACCATTATTTCATCAGTGCCATACATTTTAATGTTCTTCTCTCCAAAGATTTTAACTGAAAAATAAACCCAGCCGGTCATTTATAAAGATGCAGATGCGCTACCTATGTTTATTTTTTTTAATGAAAACTAATTTACTGATACAAAATTAGCCATTTCACACTGGAGACTTAGCAAAATACAAAAAGACAATGCAGTACTTTGCTGAAATAAAAGTTTCAGTGACATGTACATATTTATGTATCAAAACATAAGTGTTTCTTGGAATCAATGTAAATGGGCCACTCAACCAATCTTGACTGTAAAATTAGTTCTAATACAGATTCACACTATATTCACTAGTCTGTCAAACTGAAGTAATTTATTTATATTTCAATTACCTCTATATGGTACACTTGGTGAAGTGATAATGATGTTAGCATCATATTCCTGTTCTAACCTCTGATTAAATACCTCCATATGAAGAATACCAAGAAAGCCAAGTCTCCAGCCCTGGCCTAAAACATCACTGAAAAAAATGAAAATACAGGGTGAAAAACAATGATATCTCATGGCATACACTTTCTTTACATATTAATAAGCATATGACTGAGAGTTGAAAAGTTTTGGAAATGTGACAAAGCCTTCAAATCACAAAGTGACAATATTTACTTTTCTTTTTTCCTTTTGTCTATGGTACAATTTATAACTGTTAAAAATATTGTGTTATTTTTCACTTAAAGAACTTTGAAGAATTTTCAGAATTATTCAAAAGTCTCTATGAAAATGACAGAAATCAATTTTCAAATAGGTAAAAACTAAATACAGACAGAACACAAAAAAGTGAAATATTTACCTAGAGTCTACATTAAGCTCTATACTAGAGTCATTGAGAATAAGCCTTTCTATGGCTACTTTAAGGTTAAAATATTCCCCTTGGTCTGCAGGAAACACCCCAGCAAACACCTAGAAAAATATTGGTACATGCAAATCATGAACAACAGCACATAAACATGACTTAAATACATGCATATTATAAAAAATTCTGAACTGTATTGAGTCTTCAGAATGGTATGAACCATGAACTCAATAAAGGGGGGGGGGGTATTTTTGGGAAATACTCTATGGAATAAATTCTGAAAGCACTTTTGTTGCATTTCCCCTTAATGTTCTGTGACTTCACCTATTTAAACGTTCAAAACACTGCAAGTAAATACCATCAAGTTTACCTGTGTATGTCTTGAGTTTCAAGTTTAATTCTAATAATCAAGTTTAAATATTTTAGCTTGTCTTACTTAATAATGTTTTAATGTTATCAATCAATAAACTTGCACTATTTTAACATAAAAAAATAGCCGTACCCACCACCAAAATAAATAATTCTCAAAATTTGCATTATCACAAAAATTTATAATAAACTTTTTTCGATTTTAAAAGATCACCCCTACATGGTCAGATATTGATTAATAAGATATTGTTACCATTGGCTTTGGTGCTCTGAACCCAGGGAAAGGTTCCACAGGAGATTTGACTTTGTAAAGTGTGTCTCCAATTAATGCTTCTTTAGTATTCCTCATGTTAGCAACAATATATCCCACCTGCCCTGCATAGCTAGAAATAAAACAAACAACATATAACCTTTACCTTACATGACAATGTGTAGTATTAAGGAAGGGCCGAAATTATTGAAAGGAATAATGAAACAAGAAAAATTATCCAATCTGGCTGGATTTTCTAACTCAAACTGCATTTTGGTCTTAAGGATCCTTCTTCTTTTACGATTGAGAATAATAAGTGAGATGGTTTGCCTTTTATGAATCAAATGAACAAAATGCAAGGGGATGACAGATGCAGGTAATGACTATATGTCCAGACACAGTGTCTGTCTATATAAATAAGAAACTGTAGAAGACATAAAAGTATAAAACAACAAAAAAAGTTTAACATCAAATTATGAAGCATTCACTGAAATCAGATTTAAACTCCCTAAAGAAATGTTCATATTATTAAAAGATAATGCAAGATAATGAAGACAAGAAAAGACTGAGTAATTATCAGTTAATTCTCCCAGTACTTTCTACAACTTACAGCGCATTTGTTTTGGTAGGTAGAGGGTGCATGAAGCCAAGTTCCATGACTGGGTGCCTCTTCTGTGTGTATGCAGAGACAATCTCATCACCTGTGCTAGGCATTAAGATGGAAAGGACATAAACTTTTCATTCTATTAAAAAAGTAATCTGACAAGAGATTATTAAGTGACAAAAAAAAAATGACTTCATAAAATGTAGGTACACTGAACAGTTTTGTTTCAAGGTGGTCCTTAAATCCAACATTCACAAAAAAAGACATTTTAATTATCTACATCTGTTACTTACTTATTGTAAAAAGATATACCCCTGAAAAAATGTCTAAAAAGCTTGATCTTGAAGATATAAAAGAAACTAACCTTTTTTCAGTGACCCATCTTTGACAGCAATATTTGCAACAGCTCCTTGGTACTTGTCAAACCAAGAGTCAAATAAAAGAGCTTTAAATGGCTTTTCTACATCACAGGGTGGGCTGGAATGGCATGAAAAATAGACTGGATTTCACATACAAGAAGAAACATCTATCTGACACACTTTCATTGTAATTTAACTCTATTCACCTGGAGCATACATGGTCAAATTGAGAAAAAAATGGAATGCCTGGTTATAATACATGGTTACATTAGTATATTACAATATTTAGACTGGGTTCCCACAGATTCAGATCGATCCTTCTGGATCGACCTTACTCACTGGGGGTTCACAGTAAATTGCTGTCAGCTTCCAGGAGCCGAGCACGTACAATAGTTAATTACCCCCTTACAGCTTTAAGTAGGCGGGACAGACATTTAAGTCGGTTAAGCTGACAGCAATCTAGTGAGACTCCCCAGGGGGACAGATTGATCTAAATATCTGTGAGAATGGTCTCTCACTTCCACTCATCAAAACTTTTTTTTTAAACTTACGGAGGTATTTTTTGGATCACAGCTTCTAATAACTTGTCAATACCAATACCAAGCTTGGCAGAGATCTGAAAAAAATTGACAAATTATTAATCATAATTAACTTCAAAAAATTTTTCTTGATACCAGCTAAACACAGCGCCTCTTGATAATAATTAATTAAATATAGTTAAAATCTTATTAGCATTATTATTTCAATTTTGCACACAACTTACTTGTAAGTCACTAAATTGAAAAGATTTGTAAGCCAGATAAAGTGGTTATTTCACCAACAGTATGACACAACCAATTAAATTTGCACCCTTTGAAAGGGTAAAGCTAACAAAAGCAAAAAATTATCAATTACATTCTTTTATGGACTTATGTCATCTTTGAATGTGGGGATTCCAAATGATATTCACTTATGAACAGAGTATCACCACTATCATTAAACCAACCTGTAAAACTTCTTCAGGTTCAATATCAAACATTGTATTGAGCTCCTCTATGACCTGCTCTGTCTTTGACGTCTTTAGGTCAATCTTATTCAATACTGGGATAATAGCAAGATTGGCTTCAAATGCAAGGTAAAAGTTGGCCACAGTTTGTGCCTGCACACCCTGAGAATATTAAGACAGATTTTCATATAACATTTTAAAGTAAAAATTATGCGATATAAAGCACCATTAAAAATGCTCTGTTTTGGGTTTGTCCTTTTGGAAATAATAATAATAATAATAATAATAATAATAATAATAATAATAATAATTTTTGAATAAAACAAAATAATAATAATAATAACTATGTGGTGTCACTGGATACCCAACGAATATTCCCCTACTTCAACACACTGTAAAGAGCACCCCGTTCCCCTGATATCTACGACAAAACCTGGGTTCTGTAAATATGTATATAAATGTTGAAAATAAAATTCATAAAAGCAGCATAAGAAAAAGTATTGATGAAAAAAGTTTTACATAAAAAATAATCACCTACCCCCCCCCCCCCCCCAAGGACAGCCTAACCCCCAGGGGCACAAAATGTTTGAAGGACCAGTGCACATAGATTTTTTTTATCTTCCAGAGCAGTAGCAGTAATTAATAATGCACAGAGTGACAAACACATGGATGTGCAGGATAACATGATCCTTGACTACTGTCACAAAAAAAAAAAAAAAAAAAAAATTTCAAGGATAATAATATTAAAGTAAAAATGTACAGATCTTCATTACAAATGATAATGGCATGTATTTCATTTCTGAACTAACCTGAGTGGCATCTACTAGAAGAATGACTCCTTGTGTAGCACTAAGTGATCTAGACACTTCATAATGGAAGTCAACATGACCCTACGTAACAACAACAATAATAATAATAATAATAATAAATTAATTAATCTACAATGGAAGAAAGTCTAAACAAGAACAATTTTCTTAACATTTGAACATTTTGATACATTATGCAATAGACATTTAGTTTTAGTAGAATACAAGTGGTGAAACTGCTGGTAAAAATTCACATTTGGTAAAATGTCTCTTCTTTATGAGAATAAAAAATTATACACAATATTAAAATTGCCATCACAGAAAACATTATTGTATAATACTATATAATAACTATTATATTAAACTGAAAATCAAAATGAACAAATGTTTTGGCGTACAGGAGTGTCAATAAGGTTGAGCATATATTCTTGATCTTTGTACATATGGAAAAGGGTAGCTGTCTGTGCTTTTACTGTGATTCCCCTTTCTCTTTCCACTTGTAACTTATCTAAAACTTGAGCATTTTTGGCACTTTCTGGAATCACACCTGCAAATAAGAAAGTCACTACACAATATTACAATGATAAAAAGTAATGCCTTGTAAAAACATTCTGGTTTATGCACTTATTAGTTTTTTTTATTAGTAATGCTCAACTTAAATCTTGACCAATTACACAATGCTGGGGTAGCGCTAACACTCGCCAATTTAGCCAAATGCTAAAACTGACTTAAATTGGCTAAAGAAAAAGGGCTTGATTTGACATGTTTTAGCCAAATTATAACCATTTTGGTAACAAATTGACAAAAATGTGGCGATTTGGCTCAGCGAAAAAAATTGCTAGCGCTACCCCAGCAATGTGATAAAGAAAGTAATTACTGTAACAGAAACAAAATGTCTATATTTCAACTTTAAAAGATTTGCTTTCATCAGACATGAGCTTAAGTTTCAAAAACACCTCTGAACATTTATTATGGGACCCAACACCTATCCAGCAGGGAACCATCAGAATTGAATTAAAAAATGCGGAATTCCACGTTTCTGCAGAAAAAGCTCATGTCTATTAAATACTGTTACCTTTATAAGTGAATTTTGTAATATGTTATTTTTTCTCTAACATTTTTTTACCTGTAAATTCTAGAAGTCTGTCAGCAAGAGTGCTCTTGCCATGGTCAATATGTGCAATGATGCTGAAGTTCCTAATAAAATCTACTGAGTTTTCTGAAAGGTCCACAATGTTTTCATCTTCCTAGAAAATTGCATTAAACCAGTTACAAAAATTCATAGATTTCACCAAATATGAGGCTAGGGAATACCTTTTGCGTTCTGCATGATTGGCATTATTTTTCGAGCGTAATGCGTTATACTCTGCAGGGGCCGATTTAGGCTGTCTTCTGGGTCTTTCGGAAGATGGTCAGATTTTCAAGTTTACATTGACAGGTATCTATTTTTTCTGTCGGAAGACGGTCAAGAACGGAGGATGAATCAACAAAGACAATTTGGAAGACTGTCAGAAAATATATTTGGATCCGCCCCTGCTCTGCCTGAAATGTGATTCAGGAATGCTTGTTTATTGGCCTGAACATACCTTGGTGATTGAGCTGTTTTAATCTTGGTGACTGGTAATTAAGGGGGGTATTCCCTATCCTCAAATACTATATCATTAATCAAATAACAGGACACTAGAAGAATCACATACTGCAAGTGTGAGGGGAATCTCAAGCTCTTTTAGATAATATTTGCCATATATCAGTGCCACATATTCCATTTCTGTGCACTGTTAATAAAAGTGCACTTGCATGTATGCATCTCATTATGTCTGAAATCACTGGAAAAACGGTTCTTTATTTCCAGTGAGACAACTGTCTTTGATTTAAGTCTAATTAAGTTATTTTATTGAAAGTTGCCCAAAATGATATGTGCTTATCCTGTTTTCTCCCCTATCTACATGTGCATTTATTAATACATTTTAATTTCTAATATGAAAAGCAACTGTCTATACCACTAACTTCTTTGATAATTTCTAATCCGTTTATTTTTATTTCTTTCTTTCTTTCTTTCTTTTTTTTTGGGGGGGGGGGGGAGGTTATAAGTGTAAATAAGTAATAATTGCTAACCAAAGCTTTCCCTTTTTTTAACCTCACGGATGACAAGTACAAGGTCCTGCAAAGTGTTGGTTTCTTAGGTAGAAACTGACAGCACCTGCAACAAACAATATTACATATAATTAGGAATAATCTTTTTGATTAATCGTTTTACGTGACCATTCCTACTTTGTTTTACTTTCTGTATAAAAGCTCCTTAATTTATAAGATGAAATTAAGTAGAGGCAGAAATGCAAAAGGCCGACATTTATGTATTATGTAGTACCAGTACAGGACGAACATGTACTACGTTACCGGCTACATCATATAGTACTATCATTAATATTACATGTACAATGTCATTCACAAATTTTGAGAGCTTACTTGAGGTTTGTGCCGACTCTTGCTAGTAAGTATGTTTCTGATTGCAAAATCCTTACACCTCCCGTGAAGCCACGAAGAAGAAGCCTCATCTTCATTTAACTTTTAAATAAAATTTAAGAAAACCTCGAAAACGTGACTCCGTTCTCCTCCATGCTGGATTTCCAAAATCAAGACTAGGAAAAATTGTGATTGAATTTTGTCATTCCCCAGAACATACTAAAACATTGCCGCATATAAAAACATAATAATTTGCATTCTTATTGTACTGCAATAGAGATCTAACGTGAAATCACTGTTTTATGTACAATGTTGATTTTTTAAACTCTCGAGCTAGTTATTTTAGAGGTCTCTCGTAACTCTTTATTGGGCAATTTTCCGATAGGCGGCACTGAGGTGCACGATTTCATACGCATTATCTTGGCTTAAACAATGAATTTAACACCATATATCCAATCCCTGGTAGAGCACGTCATCAATATGTATATGAAAGAGTGAAAGCTAACACTACTAAACGATAAAAAACTTGTAATAATTCCAGTACCCTCTAGCGGGATAGCCCTTAACTTAACTTCTATTGAAATAAGCCTTCTTCTACTGAAGAGTCATCAATGCAGGTTGATGTATAAACTTACTTGACAGGTAAGCATATCAAGACGTAGTTAAGTGCAAGTTTATTTTAGATAGACAAATAGGTTTGTTTGTATTCTTTAAGTACTAGTTATCCTTGAATTAAAGACGGATATAAAGAAGGCTGTGGTGATCCTACAAACTTAAAGCACCCGCTGTGTGAAGTTCATTTCAACTTTCAAGGTCAAATGAGTCAGTTTTTAAAGCACAAGAAATTTAAGCCATTGCACATTTTGAGTATAACATACGGCCGTTCGTCTACCGCGGACAAAAATTCCCTTGCAATTGCAAGATCTGTAAGTTGCAGTAAATGTGTGCCACGCCCCATTACATGTATATTTATATTTATAGTTTTTCATGTGACCATGCATGCCACTTCCTTGCCTTAGCTTCGGGCATAGTTTAAATCTAAACTTGCCATGATAAATGGCAAATATAGACATTCATCAATTAAAGGGCCACTCCATGGGATTTTCCTGCCAAAATGAATTTTTCTGGGGTAAATGGCTATTCTCCTCCTCATGAATCATTGCTTGACCCATCCCTGCACTTTTAATTGAATAATACTTTAGTTTAAATGACTGGCCAGTCAAGTTAACAACATCTGCCATCTGCCCACCGCAATGTTTGTACACAAGAAAATGGCGAGGTGTTTTGTATTGCAGCCCCGTTCCATGTACTAGTATCATACCGAAGCTGCAAGCTGGCAATAATGGCTTCCGAAGGAAGCTGAGAAGATGATAAGGACAAAAGGTACACTTCAGATAAACTTTTATTTAAAGGGTTTGTTGTCTTTAGATTCTAAATTAGGAAATATAGGAAGCTTTGCATGACTTTGCGGGATTTTGAAATGTGGGGAGAAATTCATTTTGGCAGAAAAATTTGTGGAGTATTCCTTTAAACTAGGCCACATATTTGAGGTCCAGTTAAAGTACATAGGAAGGACATGATAATTATTAGTACCACCAGCGTGTACGCTGGCGGTACTCATGGTTTTAGTCCCGACCCGTCTCGTCCGGCTCCGCCGGCTCCGTTGGCTCCGCCGGCTCCGTTGGCTCCGCCGGCTCCGTAAGCTCCGCCGGCTCCGCGTACTGGCGCCGGATACAAGTCACCGTTACCGCTTCTCCTCCTAGACCGCAAGGACCCCTGTCCCCATCTCTTGGATTTAGGTCACATATAACCTCAACTTGAACCCCCAGGTTTTTTTGTCTCAGTCGGTGCATTAACCTGGGCATGACGCTCGTTGAAATGCACCCTTGTCAAAATTTTTGAAAATTCAATGCCAATTATCTACCCAACGGAAGGAATTATGGGAAAAATTTCTACAGACGGCTTTCCAAAAGTCATATGTGTAGATTTCAAATATGCCCTTGGATTTGACCTTTGACCTTTATTTCAAGGTCAAACAGGCCAAAATTTTCAAAAAAATGAAATTTTTTAC